AATAGAAAAAGCACATCGATCAATCACATTGACACAAACACACAAACTAACAAGAAATCAATTCATCCACTTGTAATCAATTCATATATATATATATATATATATATATATATATATATATATATATATATATATATATATATATAAGTAGCAGTGTTATGACAGTTTCTGTAAACTGGAACATATTGTTACTCATATACCTGCATACTTACTACGCACGTATATACTCACGCAAAGTAAACGAACAGTTGTGTTGGCCACTACTCCACGTTCCAACATAAGAGTGGAAATAAGAAAGTAAATCTATTTAGTAGATGAAATGTACAGTTACAGTTTTTTTGTAGGACTTTCTTGTTTTTGTTAACCACATAGTGATTGTGTTTTTCAGGTTATTATTCACAATGGCCCAACATTAATTGGAGAACATTGGGAATCTGAGAGCACTGGACAGCTGTTTCATCCTTGAATGGAACTTCTCAAGACTGTGCGCCGATGATGCTGCCATAGATCGAACCCAGGACTTTCACGTTCTATAGCCAGCATGTTAACATTGAGCCAGTGCACCCGTATCTGCTGGTTCATATTTCATACTTATCTCAGTTCACGATATAGTGCGACATCTATCCAATGCCAAATCGAATTAATCTAGTGCTCACTGGTGACTTGCTTCGAGAAGTAGTTCCTGAAGTTCTAATTAGGAGCCGTGACCAGTGAGTTAAATGAAGTCTAAAGTGAGGACAGTTACTCAATGGCGGCATTGCATTGAAGTCGCGCTTTATCATGAACCGACGGAAGTAAGAGATATGAATCACTGGATACCAACCCAGTGGCTCAAGGGTAACGTGCTAGCCAGGGAAAATGAAGGCTCTTGGTTCGATCCCTGGTGGAGTCATGGGTGCGCACTGCCGAGGAATCCCATACAAAGACGAAACAGTTGTCCAGTGCTCCTAGGCTTCCAGTGTTTCTCCAACTGATGACAGTTCATGATGAATACCAACCTGAAATCAGTAAATAAATCCCCACAAGTCTACAGATCGTTTTGTATATTTGTTGTCTTATGTTAAGGTTGTTGTCTTCCTAGTCTGTGCAACTCTCTTCTCTTTGTAGGGTAAATAAGTATGCCGCCAGTTTCAGTCATCCAAGTTAGTTGAATTCTAAATTTCTTTTTCTTGTTGCAGTTAATAAGAGTAGTCTGTTCCTGAAATCCTCAAACCGAAATATTCAGCGTTATTCGGCATCTGCCACTTTGGTTTGTCCAGTTAATAAAACACATTGTGATGGTGATGACTTAGTTTTTTCTTCTTCGAGAGGTCAAATAGAGAGTTATGTCAAACGCACTGCGATTGTAACACACTCACTAGGAAGCTAAAAATTACCCTGCCTTGGATGCTAACTGAATTTTGCACAATCTGTAAGGAAATTCGGTAATGTTGATGATTTATTGTCCATATGGTGAAATACGCTTTTTAAAATGTGTTCAAATAGTTACATATTTTACTGTTAGATATCTGGGGTAACTAGTGACCCTTGGTTCAGATGTCGTGCTTTTTGACATTCAGCATGGTGTATCTGCAACCACGCGAAAACTAGTGTTCGCCGGCTGATCTGTTTCAATCAACGCTGAAGTTTAGGTACTCAGCTCCTCGGGCTACAACTGAACTCCTGTAGGTCTTCGTTATGTACACGAGTTGGTCACGAGTGTGAGTAACTAATGTGGCTGTTTAATTATTAGTCATCAGCACCAAGTAGAGTTTATCGAACAAGTTCACAATGCGGTCTCTAAGTTTACTGACGTCACACTCCGTTGCTCTCTATCTTGGTTTCAGATATTGTTCTGCTTTTATTAGTCTTGGAATCCACTGAAGAAAGCAAATAAGACTTCATCTCTGTTTAGCATCGAGAATACATCCCTTTTACCTTATTCAAAATTGAGCTGTTTAGTTCTTCTGGCTGTATGTGCACATCCGTGATTAGAAGAGGAAGTCTATCTGAACAATGGACAGTGTATTTTGCGCAATACATTTCGAGCAATCCGACAACACATTTCTCTTTAGAGTCAATTTGTGTAAAACCGAAAGGTTGGAGGACAAACATATAACAATTATGAAAATAGAGGAATCAGATTGTAAAAGATGAAGACGAAAAGGAAGAGTGACATACTTGATCATAATCTTGGTAGTAAAAAAAAGTTTACCAATGTAGCTGTAGTGTAAAAATAAACTGTTTTTGTGCACTTAAAGGTGGTTTCATTTTGTGCATAGCTATCGTTTCCACAAATCTCAGCTTGCGTCCCTGACTATTTCTGCATAAAACTTTGAAAGCTATCTAAACAATAATTTGGTGTTTAAAAACCAAACTAATCATATAGATTTGTCGGTCAACGTGATTATTATTTGTCCCCTGGGTTCCCAGTGGAACATGGGGCTTCAATAGCTCGTCTCCATTTCACTCTGTTCTTTGCAGTCTTTTCAACCTGGCTCCACGACTGCCCGTAACCTTTCATTTCTTCCTCACACTATCTCCTCCATGTCACCCTCAGAAGCCTAACTCATCCTTTCTCATTTGAGTCCCACTCGAGGACCTGGCCTGACGCGTGGTGTTCTCAAACGGTCTCCTCAGTGTATATCCCATCCAATGCATCTCAACTTTCTTCTGCATATTTGTTGGGTGATGGGTTCTTGGTTAGTTCGTTGCCAGCCAGCCAGCCAGCCAGCCAGCCAGCCAGAGTTCCTTGTTGCTTATTCTTTCTGGCCATCTGATCTTCAGTGTCGAGTGAGCGTAGGCAGCATCTGTTGATGTATGTCTGGAGTTTGTTGGAAGTGCTTTTTGTAACACCCCAAGTCTATGAACCATATAGAAGCACTGACTTATTTGACAGTGGTGTTGAAAATGCGGATGTTGTTCACGCTTTATTCTGAGTGCAGTGGGGTGCAGTAGATCTGCACACTGATTTCAGATCAGTGAAGGCCTGTCTTTCTGACCCTGGCTTTGACATCATCATCTGTGCCTGTGCCGCCTGTAGTTGAAACGATGGTGCCTAGTTGGTAGGTGGGAGAGACAACTTCCTTTAGATTTCTCCTGTTGATGGTGATTGGTGCTATAACTACTCCAGACTTAAAATTAAGATAAGAACAGTACAAACCTATATTCTTTTCATTTCAAATTTATTTTCTGTCTTTCTGCCACTTCGGACATCGTTTTTTATTATTTCAATCTCCTTCTGCTGGGTGATAATGCGGTGTATAGTAAAGTGGTTCGATATGCCATTATGTTACGCCTAGGCCGGTTTTCGTTTGTCTGTCGTGTACTTACACAATTCTTCAGTTTAAAATGAAAAGAGGAAGTTAATGTTCATTCTGCTAGTTAAATCAAGTATGATACAAACGTGTGTTGACTGAATTACTGCTGTTCTTTTTATCCTCTGATGGTTCTGCAGTCAGTATTCGTATTATTTGTAATATATGGTCTGATGGTGTTAATCTATTTTAGCTACAGCGTACCATAACGGGTGATATGAAGACTCAGGTCGTTCGGTGTAAGACAAATGACTCTTAAGTAAAAGGGTTAAGACGCAACTCATATTCGTTTAGTAGGTAGTGAGCAATACCTTTTATATGAGGGCTAGTAATACTAGCTGATTTCAAAAACTTTGTAGATGGAGCGGTTCTCGAACCCATGACGCATTGAGTGTGTTGGTCTAGCATACATGTCACATACATCGTTCTATCTAGTCGACTTAGGCTCATAGTTTCAGTCACTGACTAGTCTTACTTGTCTACGCTTACCCGCCTCTTTCACCATATATGAGCAATGCTACCATAGCATCTATGATTGTGTACCTGAGTCTACTTTTTATACCAGTTAGTCGTGTGAAATTTGTCGAGAAAACACTGACATAAAGTTATTCGTTTCCTTGTGTAAGACAAAGTGGAGTGGAGTGGGGAGAGAAAAGCCTGATGGAAATATGAGAGAAATTTGAGCTTTTTAATATAAAAATATTGTACTTTGTATAAAATTCTATCAGTATGTGTGTGTGTGTGTGTGATTGTTCAGATTTGTCTGCGTAAATATGAGAACTTGTTTAGTTTATTGAAATTTCGCATTACAAATGTTGTTTCACATCGATACCGATACAAAAGTTCTGGTACACATATGAACTAATTTATACAGTGAATCACCAGTAATTTTTATCACTAGAACATTAGTCAGTGCCGCATTTGTTGTTGTTTTTCATGTGTCTGTCATAAGTTATTCTATACAAAATAGTATTCTGACAAACTATACTAGTAAATAATTTAGATATTATTTTTGTGAGAGGGATAGTATCCCCTGGATTTTTTAAAGAAGCCTGGAATTCTCTGAAAAGCTTTCACAGGCAATCATGACATACCGAGCATTCGCGAACAGCTACTCGAATTGCGTAATGGGATTTCTCGAGAAGTGTAGGGCCCACCAACATCATCAGAAAATGTATATAAACCGTTACCTTTTATAAATATTCGACTTAGAAATGAACCTTTATTGTTTTTGCCGCTTTCTATTTTCGAGGAACTGAGCGACCCTCAAGGGTGAAGCCTAAGATTATTATTTGTGCTTGTCACCACTAAGTAGTATATTTTATATCACATGAATCATGGAATTGTGTAGTCTTTGTAAAGTAGGTTCTTAAAGAAATCTAACTTAGGATTTCGAACCGGTGAAATGATCTGAATCAATAAGCCTAATTCTTCTTACTTTTTTTCCTACTGTATTCTTATGCCTACTTCAGTGTTATTCTTCTTGCATCCATTTCTTTGAAATGCTACCGTGAAGTATGTGACAGTATGAAGTGATGCACTTTTACGCGAGGTTTTACGGTAGTTTGATTTTTCCAGTTTAGTGATACTAGACACTAGACATTACTTAAGATTCTGTAATACAAAAGGTTAAAATATAGTCAACCACTTTTCTGTATTATTTATATTTTCTTATTTTGTGTTGTTATTTTCTTCTCTCGAAAGATTTATGGAGTTGCTTTCAGTCCTACGGGACAGTTTTTTGTAACTGTCGGTGTCCGTTATGTTCGATTTTGGTATTTAGAGAATAAACGCAACAAAGTAAGTATTATGATGATGAATGTTTTTTGTTGTTATTGGCTGTATGTTGCACTGAACAATTATTTACAGATGGAAAAGCCAGTTGAAAATTTTTTTCCCCCTAGTAAAACATTCCTTCTGATTAGTACATCACCATAACCATTATTTAAGTATATACTTTCATGAGTTAGTGGGAACAGTAAACAGTCGCTGAAATTTAATCGTTACATCAGAAGTTATAATATGTACAGGATTTGACTGACTGGGATAACTTATTGTGAGTGATTCACTCACTTACTGACTCAATCTTATTGTACAAATATGTCACTTTCTCTTTGTTAATTTTATCATTTTATCTTCAAGTGAATCTTCATCCAAAGTTCCTATGGCTTACTACTTTTAGTTTTTCACTTGGTTAACATGAGGTCACGTGCATGTAATCTGCTTAACCTACTTCACTTTAGACATCCACGTTTTTCTGTAAACCTTTACATATCAAATATGTACTTCTGGTGTGTCTTTAAAGCAGTCGACTTTCAACCAGAAGGTTCTGGATCACAACCTCACCCTTCAACCCGTATCAAACATTTTGCAACTAGTTATTACCATTAATCTTCACATCATAATAATAGTTCATTCTCCACTCAGGTCATATTAGCGTAGAATCTTGAACGCAGATTCGTCGGTTCAAGTTGTCACACCTCACAATAGTATACGAACTATAGGTGGATAGAAAAACAGTGATATCAAAGTAAACAAAAGTGTATATGAAGAGAGGAAGTTAAAAAATTAAGGCTACTCAAACCATTGAAGCTTTAAAAGGCATCAAAGAGTGAATACATTTGCACTGTTGTGACCGACTTTCAGTCACGTCACCAAAGGTCTGCAATCATTGATACACTCGGTCTCTGGATCCCAGCCAAGTGGTGTACACTTCCCTACACGGCTCATATTAATAGTTGGGGACTCCATGAACTAGTCCCCCACATCTTGGTCCTGCCACTATGAACCCTGTTTTAACCTAATCCAACTTTGCTTAGCATTTCACATCGATGTAGGCGATGACTCGATATGCGTAACATATGTTCAATAAATAAACTTGTTTATCAATTTAACTATCTGAGATAGCGTTGGTTTAACAGATTTGTATTATCCACACTATATGATGATTGAAGGTAAAGGGAAAATATCGACCAAAAGAGGATTTGGGATTATTAACCCTATGCTTTACCAGTTAACCGGTGAGACTGTTAGTTCGAATCTCTACCACAATCCAGATGTTCATTTCACTTTCAATCATCACCCAATATAAATAAACTTGTGCATTCTTGTTTGATAGCGTTTATAAAAAAACTTTACTCCTTCAAAGAGTTCCATTTAAAAATTGTAGCGCTGTAAAAGTGTTCATGAAGGAAAAGGTAGTGACGATAGTGCACTCTCAACCATCACAAAAATCTATATAAGAAGGAAGATAGAAGTGACTAATTCAGTAGATATGTTGAAATATAGTTAAATATTCAGTACTGGGCTTAAGTGACAATCATTGGTTATGTAGAAGGTCGAGTTTTACTTTTCTACATTAAACAAACTTTTTGTTCGATTTTTCACAATCTAGCTTGTTTGTAACCCTTCATTTTCGTTCTGTTTTGATGTATAATAGAACTGTTCTGTTTCTATGCAGTTGTAAAATTTGAGAATTTGTTTTTGTACAAGACATCAAATTGTTCTATCTGTCCTTTATGTTTAAACACCTCCAAAAATTTGTGTTGTGACAAAATCTCAACTGGAATACAGAAAGCCCGTTCAGCATTTGCCAACCTGTGACGTCGGCGAGATATCCACCTATCTATCAAATGACGAGTATAGTGGGCTGGAGTCCATTCTGCCCTGTTGTACGTATATGAGAGATGGCCGTTAAATGTAGGACGCATGAAGCGATGACAAGGTTTTGATCACAGATGTCTTCATAGCATTGCTCGCGTGTGGTGGAATTACCGTGTGAGCAATGTCGGGGTCAAGTGAAAGGTAGGTACTAGCCAAGATATGCAAGTCGATTGATGAGGTTATGAACGTTAGTCGATTGAGATGGCTTGGACATATGTTGCGCATGCCGAGCCACCGCCTAGCTCGTCATTGAATGCTAAATGAAGTTGGATTGGAATGGAAAAGGGTATTTGGTGGCCAGACCGAGACCTGTCACTAGTCAATGAAGCCCCTGACTGTTGGTTTGAGCCATGTGGGAAAGATGTAGACTGCGTGGTTGTGGTCGTCTAGACGAATGGAATCAACAGTGGTTGAGAACACTTGGTGACATGGCTGAAAATCAGTCGTAATGGCACAGATGTATTCACTCTTTGACACCTGAAGCTTGAATATTCACACTAACCTTTATCTTAGAATTGTTTATTCTCACACACCACTTCATCTACTCTGATATCAATCCGTTTCTATCCACCTCTTCTTTGTGTGCTTCAATAAAGTGTTTAACTTGGGCCGATGCACTAGTGTGAGTGGTGGTTGTACGTTGATTTTGTCAGTCAGTGTTAAGTAAAATTGAGGAGAATTGAGCGAGATGTTGAAAGTGAAACCTTGCTATCAATCTTATTAGTTTGGAGACGTCTAAGCTGTACGGGTGAGAAGATATCTGTTGAGTTTTTCTTTCAGTAGATAAAAGCCAACTGTAAATATGTTAAAACCTAATTCATAATTTGTTTCAAAAATGTATCAACCTGTGTGGGTCAGTGACCAACGAAATCTCTGCCCAATATAAAAGGCTCACAAGACTTTTACCAACTTACACCACTTGTGGTGTGTGAGTGTCATTTGTGCATATGTTGTACATCATCGACGATACGCATATCCGATTTGTACAAATAATGAGAATAGTAATCAACAGCTGTGAATGTAGACCAGTTTCACTGTGATCTAGAAATGCTGTCAGTTTTATTATAACATGCCCTGTTCTGTAAAATTTTTATCAGTTATGCTGACCATCAATTTTTGTATCCGGTATGTCTTTTCTATTAACCAATAGTACTTATTCTTTGGTAAGCGATCTATCTACCTCAGCCAGTAGTTTATTTCATTTACGATCTGTCAGCTTATAAACCTAAATACATTCTGAATGGCCAATGCTTCAGATATACCCGCATGTCTTGATCTTACTTCATTTGAGTGGTTTGATCGAACCCTCTAGAGGATTTTGAATAAGTTCACAAAAGGAGTTGAGTACCCTGAGGTCACAAGCTGTTCTCTTATTGAGTTGAATGGATTCATGCATGAACTAACTTAACAAAGTTATGTGTACATTATAACCTTCTCGACAATGTACTCAGGTTCTCTGGTTGATGAGTACATCAAGATCAATAGTCACTAGATGGAGATAAATATGGTAGTAAAAATGCACGATTCTCCAGGGATTTTCATATGTGATACTAACAAATGTTTTTCTATATCGAGAATCGAGGATATCTGATTAAATCTAGGTAAATGTGTGGTTTTTCAACCTACTTTATCCGTTACGAAAATTGACTTGTAGAAAAATAAGAGTTGAAATATGGTTCATTCCCCTAAGTACTCAGGTGCTAAGTAGTGGATTCTCAGTTTTTATTCCGCTGCATTTATTTCAACCTAAGCACCCACCATAGTGTGTCGTTAACTATCACATGACAAGTGTGGTTCGAATTGGATTGCGTCATTATATTATTGGATTGTTTATTGTTATAGATAGGCAAGCAAAGATGAGATTTTAAGGGGGGTTTGACTCCACATGTGGTCGTGAATGCGCACTGCTTAGAATCTCAAAATTAAAACGAAACACTTGTGTGGTTTCCTCAAGTTTTCAGCGGTTCCCTGCCTAGTATCACTCCGGGATGAAAGCCAATTTGAAATCAGTCTCCTAAAAAACTCAAGAATGACTAACATTCCGATGCTCACTAGTGACTTGCTTCGAGATGGAATTCTCCAATTTCTAGTAAACAGCTAAAATCTGTAGAATTTGAAGACAAATACTTGCCAACAGCATTCAAAGATGGTTTTTCTATAATACAAACTGACAGGAATTGGAATATATGGTACACTGGATTTCGACGCAGTGGCTGAATGGTGATAGATTGAAACTTGAAGGTTCTTGGCTGGATACGACACAGAAAATTGAGCGCAAACTTTGGAGCATTTCTGGACTAGGACAAAACATCTGTTTAGTGGCTATCTGCTTGATTTCAATGCATAATCCAACCCCCTATGAAACCGATCGATTCCTCACAAAACTTTTAAGCGAATAACAACATGAGATTTGGTGACTTAGAAAATCAAGGGATTTAATAAATGGCATTCATTGTTTTAATATTTGTGTTTTCCATTTATCTGGAATAAGTTTTTTTTTCAAGCATATGTGAAATTTCTTCGAATAAAAAGTAATTTATTTCCTCTCCTTTTACCCATTCAGTCGTTTCATGAAAACGTTTCTTTACTTCTGCAGATTCGTGAAACTTTACCATTACATGGAAGAAATGCCATTCTAGGTGACATGTTCAATAGTGTATTTACTGATGTATGTTGTGTCGTTTCATCATTGTCATCCTCATCATCACTCTCTGCTTATTCTTCATCTAATCCCGGTTCATCTCAAACAAATTCTGTAAAAACGAAACCTTCATCAGGAGAGCATGAAGATGTGACAAGTACTACTACTACTATTACTACTACTACTACTAATAATAATAATGCCAACGTCAGCAATAGTAATAGTAATAAGCCAACATCATCTGCAGCTGTTGGAACAACAGCAGCTATCACCACTACTTTGACTTTAGTTGTAAATACAGCTGGACGTTTGATTCAATTTAATGGTCAAAGAGACTTAGACAAATGGGTTGATTTGAAGGTGAGTTAATGTTAGTGCTTATAAACTGAATTCATCAAATTGTAATACATATAACTATCAATTTGCTACTCTTAACATTTTAATTATTAACGGGTGAATGATGATTACTTCATCATATTCACTTTTTTATATCCTCTTCTTTCTTCATACCAACTGCCATAACACATGATATTATAGTATTCATCTTGGCGACTAACAGTGGAATCCAGGATGTGCGTTTCGTTCTGTTTGGGACTCGTCATCTGGATTTACTTGCCTCCTAGTGAGTGGTGTTTTTCTCACTGACACTTGAATTCATTACCCATCACTTCAAATGCCAAAGCATTATCCACCAAGCCACTGAATCACGACAACCAGCACTTGTACAATGGGTATCAGGTGTTATTTGTTACATGTAGTGTCTCGTTGCTATACAGGGTTGAATTGCTCGACCTCTATGTTTAAAATAATGTATAGTATCTCTGTTAGTTCAACATAGCTTTCTGATAACTCGAAGCCGTTTGTAGGTCTCTGGGTACCCTATTAACTTTAACTACGAAACCTAGCTGAGAACAATAATATGCTTAATTTATTTCAGTCTTTGTGATATTTCTCAGCTACTATGTGAATATTTAACGTATAATTGCTCTTTTCTTTTATCAAAGCATTTTTGCTTAGTTGGTTGTAATAGTTGACTTTCAATCGGTAGATTGCTAGTCGAAACTCTGTTCTAATTTGTTCTAGTTAACTGCATAGTATCATAAACCCTCACAAAATAAATGTGACTCATAGCCCAATATAAGCATCCTGTATAGGCTAACTGAGCTGCATTTATCAGTCAGTCTATAGGTAACTTTTCTTTCTTCCTTCTTGCTAAACAGATCTGATTGTTATATGGTGTATACATTTGTAGGGAATTCATTTATTTCAAATGAGTCTTCATTATGGATCGATATTAGTCAGAGAGAAACATTGGAAACCAGGGAGGTTTGAATACTTGTTTATTCATTGTTTTTAGTTGACATCAGTGTGTTCCCACCAGCTCATTCAGGATTGAATGCAGGATAGTTGGGTCTTGTGGTTTCCACGCTATTATTCATTTCCCGAGTTAAGATTCAATTACACATGTGTTCCAACTTCGCTTGCAGCACCACTTTCATAATACGTATTTCATGATGAAAGTTAGGTTTCATTGATTTGAACAAAGTCGTTTCATATTCTTCTTCAATTAATGTAGTTTGAACGGTGAGGTAATATCAATAATTTTCATATGTCTAATGCTTCTACGATGTGAGCTATACTACTTTAATAGCTGACGATAATTGATATTCAGATAAGAAAGTAACCTCCGACGAGTAATATTACCACCTTTCAATACACATGAGATCAAGAAAAAAAAGTTTAGGAAAACACTGTCTCTATAACATCTTTTCATAGAGTTTTCTGAAGATAGCTGTATCCAGGTGATTTAAATCATTTGATTATTGGTGAATTGACTGATAACTGTACCAGGTGTGCAGTTAAGTTGGAGTGAAACTGATTCCGGGTAAGCAGATTTTCCAACAATGAAAATCTCACTGATTATTATGTGATAGATAGCTTGGGAAATAACTTTCGTTCTTAACAGGTTCATAAACCACTTTATTCATTCAAACGCGTTCTCTGAATTGCATTACTATTATTTGGTTGAGATCCGCGAACCGATAGGAATCAATGGTTGGCAACTCTTAATGACATGGCGGAAAATTATTCACAGTGACACAGATGTCTTCTAAAGCTTGAGTATTTGCGCTAACCCATTTCTTCAAATCGCATATTCTCTCACACAACTTTGTCTACTTTGATATCACTCGTATTCCATCCAGTTGTCCTTTCTATAGTACTGTTAGATGTGGCGACTTGAACCGTTGCACTTGTGTATGAGGTTCCACGCTAGCGTTTTATATATGTATATGTATATTGCTACTGTTACTATTATTATTATCACCAGGATCCAGGTTTACCATAAGAAAAGGTTAATTGTATATTGGAACCAACTGTTTTATGATTTCAGATAACGTATCAGGTGGTTGGTTCATCCTTTTCATCTCCTGAAAGTAACCGAAACTGTCATAGGCTCGCCTTCACTGTCTTAGACAATGTATTCATCATGTCGCTGGGTTTTTACGTGCATTCAGATAATTGTGTGTGTTTGTGTGAAATCTAGTTAAAGTATAGTCTTGTGCATTTTTAAATAGCTTAGTTTCATTCTAGATATCTTTAGTGTTTGTTGTTCCAAATGTTCACTAGGTGGATAAGATAGAAGCTCTGGGCTACTCCTGATTATAGCTATGCTTTTGAAAAGAAAAGATTTGGAGTTCAGAATGTTATGTTGCCACCCTTGTGACTGCATCAGCAACCGGTATTGAACACCCATAAGGATGAAGCTTGAATCATTCCTTCTGTTCGGGGAATATGTCTGTCTGTCTGCTAACCAGGCAGTAAGGACTGAAGTGATTGGTTGCTACCGTCTAAGCACTATGGGACGAGGGCTGATATTAGCTGAATGATGAGTGGGAGGTGTGGTTGGCCTTAGCGAGATAACCCAGACTGGGCTTTAAATGCCTTCCCAGCCAAGGAGGTAAGGGTAGACACCCGGGACTTTGGGGTCTTCTCCGTTGGTAGGAGTGCACGGCCTGTTGTGTACACCGTTTTCATGCATATGCGCTTAATTGGAAGTCATCCGTATGGTCGGTGACGTTTATTTGACCTAGGAAACCGGAGAAAGCCTCAAAAACCAAACTAGCTATTAGTTCCTAAAAAAAAAGAAATTAGAGCTAATCATGTTATATTTTCAAATCAGCTGGTTCCACTTGGAAAGTGAAAAACCAGCTTGTATTCATTTGAACACCTTTTTCATGCTGTTAGTGAAACAGCACAAATTAAAGATGTTTTAAGATTAACTTAAACCCTTTTAAATATAGTTATTATCATAAAAGTGACTGAAGTGAACAATATATCATTCCGTGCACAGCAAATAACAGTTAATTGTATTCGCTGAGTAACTTCATTCGTTTAATCTTCTCATCTGCTAAAAGTATTAAGTCACAAAATAGTATATACTATTTTCATGAGTTATATGCATGTAAACAACAAAACTATTTATGATTAGTATCTATTTACAATACTTGTCAAGTGGATGCAACATTAAGAAGACATAAAAGTGACAACGAGAGATTTGCGTAAGCGAAAACAGAAGTAGTCTTAAGTATACATTCAAGGAAGCATTTATTACTTTAGCGGAAACAAAATAACTGCAGTATGATTTATATATACTTTCGGTTTTAGATCATCTTTGCTGTAATAGTAAGCAGCCAAATTGTATGATCTCTTTGAGTAGCCCATCAAGGAAGTCGTAAGACATATACATACATTAATACAGCACAGTCATCCTACATACCACGGACCCCATTATATACTGACCACCTGCTAGCTTCTTCCAACACATCATAAAGTAGGCGTACTTTGAGCTGTTTTGGAGCCGTTGGGCCGATATTCATAACACCTGTCTATCCCATCGAGTTTGGTGTCTCACTGACTATCTGCATCACATTTAAAAACACCACGCACCATCTCACCTCAGAATTAATTACGTGGTATTTCAACACGACGTTAGCAATTCTACGAAGACAACGTTGATGTAAAACACAGAATTGTCAGATGTCCTAATTTGTTTTCGAAATACTCATCGACGTAATTATCACTCTTCAGAGGGTAAGTATCATCATTATGCGAAACGTTTTGTTCACGATTACATTCGAGATCCACGGTCACAATAATGATGATTTTGAAGTAATTTCTGTCCTATTGAACGCACAAACAACTCATACTGGGTGATGATTGAAAGTGAAATGAAAATCTGGACCGCGTCCGGACTCGAACCAGCAACCACCAGGTTTCCGACACGATGCTCTGCCAACTGATCTATGAGGTCCGACTTCTGACCAGATTTTTATTTCACTTCAGTGACTAAGGGTTTTGCCGGATTGCTGTGTGAATTTGTGACGCGTTACTACCTCTTGATCGTATTCACACTGACTGGGTAGTTAGGACTTCTCATTTTAATCGAAATGTAACTGAATCAGAGAGGTGGAGCATCATATTGATTACCAATTTGACTATCTGAGATAGTTACTGTGGTTTGGGAGACTAGTATTGATACTGGGTAATGATTGAAGGTGAGATGTAAATTTTCACCGCAACGGGATTTGAACCAGTAACCATCGGTTCATTCAAGCTAATAGTTGATCATCATGAGACTGAATATGAACTGTTTTGTGTTTCTGAATTGCAAACATTCGTTATCTACCCACTCACATAACTGAAGTGGACACTAAATGACATCACTGTTTTCATTTTTCTAACCATTATTCATATATATATATATATATATATATATATATATATATATATATATATATATATATATATATTCTTTTCAGCGAAGAATATTACCGTTGTGTTTTTCAGACTTCTAGAGCAAACTGTATTTCAACAAGCGGTTCTTGGGTTACTGTAGGCTGTACTACCGGTGTATGCCTTATTTTTGAGGCTGAAAGTTTACAGTTTATAGCCAAACTACCTTTACCGCATTCATTGGGCTCAAGTTTGCATGTAAGTTGTTTATTATTCACATATTTTTCCCTGCATAACAAGTGTTAATTTTTTCTTGAGACCATTCAGATTTGTCAGTAGTATGGGTATCAATGTTTCCGAAAAATCCACTGTTTGCTGAAAAGTATAAGTAAATTAATTCCTGCGCTTTCATTTGTAGATCAATAGACAAGGTACCTGGTTCTTAGTACTCGTTATATTGACATGTTTTTCCTCTGATAACTTTTATGTAGAATGGGGTACCTTAGACAAACTAGCTATCACTTTTTTTCGATCCTATACGTCAAGTGATTCTCTCAAATCGGTTTTATTAGCTACCATGTATCAAAGTCATGGCCAATATTCTCATCTATTATATTTACAAGCACTTTCGGTGTTCATTCACTTCTATCAGGGTTTTTACGATTAACTTCATGTTTACAATTTGTAGTGATCTTGGATTACGCTTCTTCGAAGTAAATGAATGGGGAGAAACGCATATAACAATGTAGAATGTAGACCGCTTTCTCTGACAGTTATACAGTTCGACAAATGCTTTCAAACAATGCAATACAGCACTTTAGATTGGGAATACGAAATCATTGAGAGTGATTTTGGATGTATATTATGCTATACTCAATTTAGACAAATGAAGAAGATAAATGACACTTTGGTGATTAGCTCGAGAAACACCAGCACTCTATACAGTTATTGACTGACTTCTTTTGATATGGTGGTTGATAAGGCGTCTTCGAAGGTATTTTTATGACATAATTCAGTTGAAAATCCATCATTTTAACATACACGGATTCATTTATCATTCACTCCTGAATTATTGACTTTCTGTTAACCCAGTCTGACTTCCAACTCATTTTTTTTAATCTCCTTTCTTATTTTGTCTTAACACTTGTATTTTTCTCTACCTTTCCTTCGCGTGTTCCTTACTCGCTGGCAACTACTGTTGCGGTGTTTTTCTGATAGCAAATCAAATGAAGGATACCAATTTGATCGTTTACTGTGTACGGAAATAAAATGAGTAGGAATCGATGTACAGCTTAGTGTAATTTATGTCCTTCGTTTCTGTTAAAACTATTATTATTGTTATTATTTGGAAATTGATCAGACTTGGAATATGGATCAGTTTTTCAATCGCTTTATCGATCTTTTGCATTTATTGAAAATTTCCTTTCATCATGATCAATATTACTTTAGTATTCATGATTTCTGAATCATTATACGTCATTATAACTATCCGTAAGATAAGTAAACCAGATAGTATAATTCTTTGGAAGTGTTATTATCGAATTACTGTAGGGTAAATAAAATACTTCGTTGTTACATCATGTACTCAGTAAATTGTCTGTCCCGTTTTTATTCAGGATGTTTATGTTGAATTAGTTATAACAGTTGGTCAATCCATCTAAACACACTACTTCATCACACTGTAAACGAAGCAATATTCTTTAGCTATTCAAGCCTATAAGTAGGTTACATGAGTGGGTTGTAATCTCAGTATAAATTATAAGAGTTGAATGCTTGGAGCATTAACTTCGGATTACCTACTTTATTTTACTATTTGAAATCGAAAAAATATTGTGTTGAGTACACGAGTTCTCTTTATTTGTCATTGATCTCTTTGAATCGTTTTCTCAACTAGTCTCAATGAGAACAACAGCGTTGAATGACAGTTTGATCTCACTAGGCTAATGAGATTCCATGGCCAAGTAATGTCAACATGTAATCAAAAGTAATACAAAGGCCTCCACATCAACAATTATTTACTGTATGTAAATTAACCAATAAAATGTTGTTTGATGTTTATAGGCATTTTATTTATTTTGGAGTATTATCCATCACGGACTGACATAAGTTCAAGATCCATTGTGGGCATTGGCTAGCTGTTTCGTTCTAGTATGCGACTCATGAACAATGCACACTGCATCACTGTCAAGGATTGGACTCAAAACCTTCAGGTATTACACTGAGTGCATTACCATTTAGCCACTGGGTTAAAATCTATTGGTTCACAGTCCTCTGGAAGTTCTAATGAGAACCTATGAGCTGTAATGTTGACCAATTCCGTAGTTAAGTAGATTCCAATTGATGACTTTTGATGATAGTCGTACTATATCGCGAATTGACAGAAGTAGAAGACTATGAACCATTAGACTTCAAACCGGTAGTTGAATGGTTAACGCATTCAGCATGAAACCTATAACTCCTCAGTTCGATCCCAGGCAGGGTTGTATATGCGCACTCCTAATGAATATCATATTAGGACGAAGCAGGTGTTCAGTGCTTCTTTATTTTAAATGTTTTTCCATGTGAAATCAGTTCGCGATGAATGCAACCTTCAAATTAAAATTTCTTTTTCATTTCCAGTTATAGTTTCTGTTATAAGCGTCCGTTTCTTAACAGTTCTGTTTTAAACTGTTTGACATTTATCAACTGCTGGTTTTAATATTCTTTTATTTTCCAGCTTTCTTTAGATACATCCAATGATTCAGTTATCAATGAACCTATCTATCCTGATGTCATTGCTGTCAAACTGGATTGCAATCGTAATCGTTTAATATGCTTTTATAATGATCACAGGTAAGAAGCTAATTCTACCCAACTAGTGGATAAACGACAAAATAGGAACTTCCAGAGGTGGATATGTGTATTTATTGTCGATTTTTAAAACTGTATGGTGTTCTTCACTCCATATAGTTAGTTTGTGTTTCGTTACTCAGCTAGGGGACTTCATCAGCACTTGTTTCATAAAGAAATGAAGTTGTGTGAATATGTATGTGATATATTTGCAAACCGTCAGCGTTACTGACTTGTTGGTAGAGGTGTTTTTCTCTTTTCTATCTGAGATAACCCTTTATAACTGTTATGACCTTTTGATATGTGCCCGGGTAGCAAACGCATGAGTATGCGATGTGACCGAAATCCATATTTTAAGACCGTTGGCGATGTTAGTCAAGTTGGTCATAGTGGACTGGATGACCGTTTCTTACTTTCCTTCTCACTTCCATCCATGAAAGTTTTGAGTATACATTTTAATAAAAGGTCTTTAACTGGCAGTTGTCCTTCTTCTCTGCATCTGCATTGTTTGTAGGTGCATAGCATCGGCATTGTATGATTGTGACTTTCCTTCCTTTTGAGTTGAACCTTGCTGTTATGATGGTTGAGGAGATTTGTTCCCACTGCATGAGAGAGAGCCTTGGATGCTGTTAGGGACATCATGATAGGCACTCGCGAACTGAGTGTGTGTGTTCATGGTTGTCGTGTGGGTGAGAATATCGGAGTAGATTATTGATTCTTCAGTTTATGGTTTGGAGATTCCACTTCCATTCCATTCCACCTGTTTTCACAGATTGCTAGCACTTCTATGCTATATCTTCTGATCTCTTTTGTAATCTGGGCTGCCTTGCTGGGTTCAACACATAATGTGGACATTGCATGTCCTCACGTTTACTTTCGCTTTCATCGAGAGAAGAGAAGACAGATTGGCCAATTGGCTTCGTGAAGGCTTTCACCAATCGGCGTCATTTCGTCTCTCCTATTCCAGTGAGGAATAATTTTGTTTTTATGTTTTACGTTTCTTTTTTGCTTTGAAGTTTGTTTAGTGGTTGGATTTGTTTTACGGGGTAGGGTTGCTAGCCCTATGCCCAACCTTTCCTGTTTACCTGGGCTTAGGACCGGCTGTTAAGTGGTGAACTAGTTAACCAGACGAGGTTGTTTTTTCTCTAAACCTATGGAATATTTTTCGATTGACTGAACCTAATCAATCTTAGACAATGCATTTCTCATTTTCTCTCGGGAAGAACACACAATTTTATCGGAATAATATTTTTCTTATTATAATAATCCTTTTTATGTTTTTACCTATATTATTCTGTTGTTGATTGCACTGAATTTGTCGATCTCTATTGGTATATAGGTTCCTGCAAGGATGCCTCGATATTGCCTATGCTTCGATTATACACTAATGATGAATAGTGGCTAGCAATGGAATCCAGGACGCGTGTACGTCCTATTTGCGAATAGCCAGTTGGATACCTTAGTAAGAACAACATCGCTTACTGGAAAGCAGGCACATCTAGCTAATGAGTCCTGAATATGACGAAACGTGCTTTCTGAATCCCGCTTTTAGCCATTATCCATCGGTAATATAAGAAGTGAGAATGCCATCATTAACCATCAGTAGTGAAAAAGTGCATTATATTTACACTGTAGGCTATACATTATGCATGCATTTCGTCCTTTTGAGATTTATTCAACCTGAGAGCTTTGGATAGCTGTTGCGTCCCATTTTGAGACTCCCCAGCAGTACTCACCCATAACCCTACCAGGCTTCAAACTTAGGACCTTCAGGTTTTACATCGAATGTTTTAACCATTTAGACACTAGTCCACAATTTCCTACTACTGTCAATTCGTGATATAACGCAGCTATCCGCCAGTATCCCGTGCTCCTATGTTTTCAATGATTCTGCAACTGATGTCATTCTGTGATGAATACTACTTCAAAAATAAAACCCCAACTAACCTCAAAAAAAAATTTATTTAACCGTTGTTTTATCGATATGTTTAACTATTGTTGTTTAGTTGCGTAGGCGATAATAAAATTGGTGGGAAAAAAATCTTAAGGTGGTTCGGGTGGTGGTAATATTACCAATAGTAGTTTCGTAAGTTTATTCCCACGGAGACTATGCATACTGTGGCTATTTCTGGTGTCTGCAATCAATGACTGCTTGTAAAATCAATAATATTTCAGAAGGCAACGCTCTGTGATTGCACATAGACACGCGGATATTGTGTGTATGCATTTTTTTTGTAATTTAGTGGAATTATCCATACAGTTATTTTTTGTGATATCTATTCTGTGATCCTGTTTCTATGATTGGAAATAAAATTTTCCAAATATTTTTGTTTAGTGAAATATACTACTGTACGATATGAGTAGTTAGGAACTACTTCGGTTGATCTGTTAGTTTTCGCTAGCGATATTAAAGTGATGTGATCACTGGAAAACCATTTCGCATCGAGTTCATCAGTGGTATATCTGAAGAAATTATGCTCACGAGCCGAATTTTTCAGATTAACTAGCTTATCTGAAGCGACTCTTTTATGCTACATAGGATAGTGAATTCACAAATGATTTGGTCCACGTGGATGTTCGTCACAGCTGAGTGGAAATATTATCACGTAGTCAAGTGTTTTGTGAACAGGGCTTTTGTTGGAAAACCTGCAGTAGACTAGATCAGAATGTGTCATGAACAAATGAGAAGTACTACTGGACAGAATGAATAGTGGGAAACCACTCACACACATCCTTAGATTTTATTAGCTAGATCAAAGTGATGTGAATGTCGCAATGCTGTTTTGCTTGTTTTTCATCGATCTAACCAGCAGTGCATCTCTTCTCAATATTTGTCTGGTTGGTTTCGCATTGACAGTGTCTGACTGTGAAAGGAGTACCGAACAAGTATATAACGCTAATCAAAGCTCTCTACTTATACTCACGCTGCAGTGCCTTGGAGAGTAGTCTTCAGGATTGATGACAACTAATGATGTCCGCCAGGAATGTCCACTGTCACCGTTCTTATTTGCCTTCGTCGTAGAGGAACTGATGGACATAACCATATCTACATCTGACACCACAGGGGGCTGACCTACTTTTTGCAGGTCATCTAGTTGACTTTAAGTATGCAGATGATATTGTTCCTCGTAGTTGAAGATACTGAAAAAAATGCACAATCTTGTGAAAGCGTTGAGCAGAAATCTGAGTATGTTTGGCATACGTTTCACTCCACCTGTCAAATGTGAGGTTGATGCTCTAGGACTGATCTTCAACCCCATTCAGGCTGATGATAGGGAGTGATGTGGTGGAATGTGTCGACCATTTCACCTACTTGGAAATTTACATTAGGCCGAACAGTTTTCTTGCCGATGAAATTTCAGCTCGGATGGAGTTATTGTGTGAGCAATATTGAGGTCAAGTGAAGGGAATTAGGCAAGACAGACAAGTCGATTGATGAGGTTCTCTTGGCTTGAGCATGTGCTATGCATCTCGATGTCAAGTCACCACCTACCTCGACGTTCCATGCAGGACAAAGTTGGATTAGGCTGGAAGGAGGTTCCAAGTGGCCAGACCAAGGCGTGGCACCAGTCGATGAAGTCCCTGGCTATTGGTCTGAGTTGTATGGGAGATGTAGACTGTATGACTGGGGTCCTCAGGATGAAATGAATCTGTGGTGATATAGATGAAAATAAATCACTCTTCAAAGTCTTCTGAAGTTCGAATATTCACACTAGCTGTCATGTTCAAGTTGTTTATTCTCTCACACAACTTTGTCGATTTGGATATCACTCTATTTCTATCCATCTATTCTTTGTATACTACTGTTAAGTTTGGCAATTTGAAGTGATGCACTTATCTGTTTGTCCGGTTTTATATTCAATTACTTTTCGACATACTGTAGTAAGAAATAAAAGATTTGGATTGGTATGAGAAGTCCTGACTACGCAGCCAGTGTGAATACGATCAAGCGGTAGTAACGCGTTATGAATTCATATGGTAGTCGGGCAAAAACCCTTAGTGACTGAAGTGAAATAAAAATCTGGCCAGCGGTCGGACCTCGTAGCTCAGTCGGTAGAGCATCGTGCCGGAAACCCGGGTGGTCCCTAGTTCATGTTCTGCGGCAGTCTAAATTTTCATTTCACCTTCAGTCATTTACAATATAAATCCATAGAAATTAACCGAGAAACGTTCGTAGAAATAAAGTTTACAGATATTAATAATATTTAGTCACTACTGCCTCAACGGTCCTGGATGACATTATTTTCATGTGTTGAAGTCATTATTATTATTTTTCCCTTGGGTTCCTAGTGGAACATAGGACTTCAGTAGCACGCCTTCATTTTGCTTTGTTCTCTGCAGTCTTTTGAACCTGGCACCACTACTCCCTACAAGCATTCATTTCTTCTTCATATGATCTCCATGCCGCTCTCAGCTGGGACGCCCACCTCGTCGTTTTTCTCTGTGAATTCCACTTGGGGGCCTGGCGCGTGATTTCCCCAATCGGCCTTCTCAGTGTATGCCCATTCAAATCCATCTCCACTTTCTTCTGCATATTTGTTGGGTGATAGGTTCTTGGTTGGTTCGTTCACAGAGTTCCTTGTTGCTTATTCTTTCTGGCAATCTGATCTTGAGTATCGAGTGAGCGTAGGCAGCTGTTGATGTATCTCTGTAGTTTGTTCGAAATGCTTTTCGTAACACGTCAAGTTTCTGAACCATACAGAAGCACTCACGTGACATTTGTGTTGAAAATCGGGACCTTCTTCTTTGTGCTGAGTCCAGTAGATGTCCACAGTGATTTCAGATTCATGAAGGCCTGTCTTGCTTTTTCGATTCTGGTTTTGACATCCTCATTTGTACCTATGCAGCCTGTAGTTAAAACGATGCTGCCTAGTTGGTTGGTGAAAGAGATTGCTTCCTTTAAGTTTCTCCCGTTAATGGTGATTGGTGCTTTTTGTTGGTTGTGTATCTCCATCACCTCCCTCTTCTCTACATTTATTTGAAGTCCCGTTTTCGCTGCCTTG